GATGCAGGAATGTTTAGTGATCTTGTGTTCCTCTTGTACCTTTGATGTAACAATATAATATTTGATTGATTTGTAACTGCTTGTACGTGACTGTTATGAGATCATTGTATAGTCTAAAGGGAATATAAGAAGCAACAATTTTGAAATAAAGCAGAGAGTGAGAGAGTCATCAGAGAGAGTCATTACCATCATCTGCCTGAGACTCAAAATGATCCATTGACTCTTTATGAGTGTTTTTTTTTTATTTTTTCATTCACCGAATCCGTACCTCCCTCCGAGTTCTCACAAATTGTCGAGGCTGGTCCTCGGCAGTAAAGATTTACAGCCTCAGAAACCCTTTACAGGGTCGCTATGAGTCTAAACCGACACCACAGCACATAACTACCACCACCACCCTAGAACATATTGTGCATGTTTTTGAACATTTATTTCTATGATTCCATTTATTTGTTTACACTGTTTCCATTAATTGAACAGTTGCTCTATCTTCACTTTGACAGTATATTGTTGTGTGCCTCTGTATCAGTTCTGACTCATAGCGACCCTGTATAGGATTTCCAAGGCTGTAAATCTTCGGTGGTGGCGGTGGCGTGTGCTGTGGAGTCGGTTCTGACTCATAGTGACCCTATACAGGGTTTTTGAGGCTATAAATCTTTATAAGAGCAAAAGTCCTCATCTTTCTCTGTGGAGTGGATGGTGGATTCGAACTATTGACCTTGTGGTCAGCAGCCCAACACTTAACCTACTGTGCCACCAGTACCCCTTTGATGGTATATTAATCCAGTTATTTTTAGTATATTAAATAAAGTTATTTTAAAATTATTTAATTGATATCACTGAATTGTATGTATAAAACGTTAAATTAGCAAATGTTATATTATATGTATACATTTTATAAGAAACAAACAACTAACCGTAATCATTGTAATGGAATAAAATATGTTGTTGTTGTTGTCAGGTGCCATCGAGTCGGGACCGACTCATAGCGACTCATGCACAGCAGAACGAAACAATGTCCGATCCTGGGCCAACCTCACTACCGCTGCCACACTTGAGTCCATCAATGATGCCACCTGGCTGATCCATCTC